CCCGGAGCCCCGGAAGGCCCGGACCGGTCCGATCGGGGGCCTTGCCGCCGACTCTCCCTCGTGACCTTGTGCGAGTCACTGCCCTGACGGCGCTGAAGTTTCCCGTCGTCCGAGGCGGGGTTCTGACGTTCCTTGGACTGGCTCCCCTCTCTCTTAAACCGGCCAGAGCTGACGTCTTTTGGTGGCCGACAGAGGGATGCTCCGCGTCCCGGGTCCGGGGAGGCCGAGATGCAGGTGCAGAAACACCAGAGGGGCCGCCCTGTGGAGTTTCCTTGCTGAAAAAGCAACTTGCCTTTTCACGCAAGGCAGGAGCTCATGCCAGGTGTCATCTATCAGGAAGGTCGATTGTTTCTTTTTAAAACTGGGTTCTTCCTGGGCTGTGGAAGGACTGGTAACACGTCTTATGAGCAGGGACCTTTGGTGTCCTTATGGGCCTGGCTGGATTGGGCAGGAGTGATTTATTTATTTCTGGCTTTGCTTATAAATGTACGGCTTGCTTTTTAGCCTTTAGTGGGGCCTGTGAAGTTATCGAGGCCTCTCCGATTGGCTCACTGGCATTTGGGAGCCTTTCTTTTCTTTATGTAGGGTCTCTGATAAGGGGTGATGTACACTGGGCCCTGGAAGAGTCTTTTGAGCGGGGAGGGTGTAGCTCAATGGTAGAGTGCATGCTTAGCATCCTCAAGGTCCTGGGTTCAATCCCCAGTCCCTCCATTTAAAAAAAAAAACGTTGAAAGAGGCTTTGCGCACTTTTGTGACTGCCCTGTCCCTCGAGATTCCCACCCTCCCTCCTTCTTCCTCAGGTGCTCTATCACTGCATCCATATTCCAGAAACTCATTTCTCAGTTGAGTGTTGAATTCCAGCCGGCTGTAAGAGGGAGCCGGTAAACTTGGGGGAATTTTTTTTCTTCTCTGTTTCCTTTACAGTAGGAAGCTCTACCCCTTTGAAGTGCTAAGTAGTTGATGAGGGGTGTAAGTGAAAGGGGAGTTTAAAATATACAAGTATAAGGGGTATACAGGGATAGAGCAAATGGAAAGAGCGTGATTCTCTCAGGAGGACTGGAGTTGAATGTTCCCTTGCCCGGTTCAACTGTGGGACTCCAGAAAATTGTGCAACCCTCCTGAGCCTTCGTTTGCACAGAGAGCAGGGTGGGCATTGATTTGCACTCACAGAGTAGTGTGGGCTTCAGTGAGATGACAGATGTAAACTCTTAGCATTGGGCCTGGAACACAGGCTAAGGATGTTGTCACCGTCACCACTGTTAACAGAAAGATGAAGGTGGCATGAATCTTGTGTCTGGAGAGGGTACACGGGACAGCGGGCCTTTCTGTGCACAGTGGAGGAAAATGCCCTTCCAGGCCCCAGCGTCCATCATCCCTTAGAAAAGACACTTGGCCACAAGAGAAGGGAGCCTCCTCACTGCCCGTTGGTCAGCAGGCAAGACCCAGGTATGTTCACAGTTTAGTTCAGTTGAGACAAATGATTAGAGGACAGAATGAGGTTCTAATGTATCGTCTGTGCTGTTGTGACAAAGTGTGAAAGTGGTTCTCATGACATTCAGTGTTGTCAGTGTTCTTTTAAAAGTATGTGCCAGGGGTTGGTGGGAGGGAGGGGAACAGAAATTAAACAGTGGAACGAGTGATTAACAGCAGGGGCTGTCCTCGCATGAAGCGGCCCTGCAGCTCCTTCTGGCTGCTCTGTGAAGTAGCTTTTATCGTCCTTCCCATTTTAGAGATGAGGAGACTGAGGCCCAGAGGAGTGAAAGGACTGCTCTCTGGTAAGAGGGAGCCAGCATTTCATAGCTGTCGGAATGGATGTTGTCAGGAGGGAGCAGATGCATGGGGACAGGGCTGACCGCAGAAGGCCACCCGGACCTGGCACTCAGCCGCCTCGTGGGGACTGTCAGTACTGTCAGGGGTCTGTAGACGTCACAGGAGCCGGGGCCTGACTTCTTTGAGTCTCAGGGCTGTTGGTGAGAGAAGTGGACCTGTGCCTGGGGACAGAAAAGGAGTCAGGGAGGGGTCCCCTGTCTGAGTGGAACAGAGTGGCTGTGGGGAGCAGGGCAGGAAGGGTTTGGGCCCAGGATGAAGTCCTGTCCTGGTGGCTGGCATTGAAGACACAGTCTTCAGCTGACGGTGACTTTATGTCTTGCTGGACCTCATTTTCCTCCACAGCCGCCTGGGGTGTGGACCTAAGTAATTCCGCCCTCCGGCACTCAAGTATTAAAAGCCTTTGGTAGGGAGCCTCCAGGATCAGTAAGGCCCCCACCGAAGGGCCCTGAGCTGCAGTCCAGGGGTGGGTAGAGCAGCGATCACTCTGCCTCAGGCCTGGGCCTCGGGCGTGTGCTCCTGGCGCTGCGGGTCAAACTTGGGGTCTGCCTGGTGCCCTGGAAGGTGGTTCCTGAGTGGAGCCCATGGTCAGGGAGGACAAGTGGTAGGTGGTGTGAGGACAGCTTGTTCATCGTGAGTCTCTGAAGCAAGTCTCCAAGGGGCTCTGTCTTGAAGGCTGTCACGTGGGGCGTCCCTGAGCCAGCTCAGGACGCGCTGCACGTGCTGACCACTCTCCTTGTGTGGCCTGGAGAATGTTTTCAGGTCCTCCTTTTCAGGAGTAAAGTTTAGATTCATTGGGAGGAGATGGTCGGTGAGTAGTTGGCAAATTCTGACCAGACAATTGAGGGAGGCAGGGGCGACCATCGGTTCTCCTCACGGTTCCGTGCAGGACTGGGAGGTGTTGGACCTACACTGCTTCCTGGGGCCCCCCTCCCTGCAAAGGCCGTGGGCTTGACTGCCCGGCTTGTTCCAGGAGTAGTTAGTTTAGTCCGGCCCTCCGGTTGCCACGACAACTCACTGGCCCCTTTGCTTCAGTGTTTATTTAGTCTTCCCAGCCCTGAGAGGGAGGGAGAGCCTGGACAGGAACTTACAACTGGTAAGCACCTGCAGTCTGCAGACTGGGAACCGGCGCTCGTTTAACCCTCACATCCCTTAATTATCTGAGTGTGATTATTTGTTCTGCCGCTTCTGAGAAAGTTGAGGCTCCAGGAGGGACTCGTGCAAAGGACTCGTGTCAAGGGACTTGTGCAAAGTCAAAGCCAGAGGTAAGCCAAGAACGCGCCCCTGACCCGGGCTCACCCTGTGCTTCCACGAGCATCCTGTGCAGCAGGCTCCGCCAGTCAGGGTCGTCGGGACCTGGGGAGCTCATCGGAGCAGAGGTTGGGGTGGGTGGCTGTAGGCTGGGGCGCAGCCCTCTGTGCGGCCGGCCGCTGGGGCCCGAGGCTGCTGGCGCTGTGGGCCGGAGACCCCACTGTGAGGTCTGTTGCTCTAGATGAAAAGTCTGCTTCATTTTCGTGTTTCTTCAAACACGAAATGTGGGTTTCTTCTGGACAGACTGTAAGTGTGATTATTTAGAACTCATTCCTTCACGCAGGGGCTCTGTGTTGGCTCTCTGTGTTTCCCGAGTGAAGCATTTGCCGGGACGTTCGGTCTAGAAAGGGGCTGGAGACAAGGACCTAAATCAGATGAGGGAGAGAGGGTTGGCATGAGAGTGGACAGACGGATGGGGAAGGAGACCGTGACAGAAGGGCTGGCCTCAGTGGCGGTGGTAACGGGGTTTTGCTCTTTCGGCGCTCAGGGCTGTGTTAGCGCGTGCCCCAGGCTGAGGTGGCGCCCTGTGCATCCTGTGGGCCTTTAATTGTCACAGCAGCACCAAGTCGGGTTCTGTCACTGTCTCCCCTCTGCAGACGGGGACCCTGAGGCAGTGAGAGGGCCACGGCAGCAGGAGTTGGAGCCCAGCGTTCTGGCCGGAGCCTGTGCTGTGAGGCTGTGCCACCCTCAGCCTGGGGCGAGGGCGATGAGGGCAGAGGTGGACGAGAGTCTTGAGGGCTGTCTGGGCAGAGACAGCAGCTGGAGCAGAGGCTGGGGGTTGGGGTCGGGGTAGGGGGCTGACGCCCAGCCCGGGCAGCTGTGAGAGGCCGGGCGGACAGGCACCAGGCCTGACCGAGGAGGGCTGCAGGTGTTGGCCCAGGGGTTCGGGCTCTTTCATCGTCCGTACTGGGGAGCCAAGAAAGAGTCCTGGGGAGGGGAGTGGCACAGGTGTTACAGAGGCAGGGAAACTGCCCCTTGGCAGCCACCAAAAGGCCATTCTTCTCTCTTGCCATCCAAGCCCCCACCTGTGCAGAATGGGGGTCCTACGGGAGGTCAGCCCCAGGCAGCACCACTCCCCTGAAGCCCTGGGGAGGCTCCCCTTCTGTGAGGCCGGGTCAGAGGTGAGGAGGTGCTGGGACAGGTTGTAAAATGCATGTCCCCACTGGTCAGCCTGCTCCTCAGAGCCTGGCCGCTGGCTGCGGAGGGTGAGGAGGGG